CCGTATCCAAAAAATTAAAATAACAGCAGAACCTATTTCATAGGCTGTCATGAGGATTAAATGAGTTCATGTTTATAAAGCAGTTAGAACAGTGTCAGGCATGCAGAAAATGCTATGTAAGTACTTTTAAATGAAAATAAAAATTAAAGGACATGGTCATGCCCAAATCAACCATAGTATCTGCCACGGGGTAGCTGCTCGATCAGCGCTGAACTCAACTGCTGTCCTTGCTGTTGTGACAGTTGCACCAGCGTGAACTTGGGAGGGAGCAGCGGCCAGGACCAAGGGGCTGGCTGGTGACGGCGCCTTCCAGGAGGAGGAGAAGCACTTGGGAACACAGTAAACTTCACACTCCGGTTCAAAGGCCCTGGAAGCTACCAGGTTCTGCTGCAAACTTGTTCGGCTGGAGCGCTCCCAGGGCTGGGACGTGTGGCTTTTCGGGTTAGCCCAAGGCGCAGTTGCCGGGCACCCTGGCGCCGGGCCGGTGGTGGCTGCGGCAGCCAGAGAGGGGGACAGCCTGGAGCTCCGCCCCCTGACTGGCCGCCCAGCGCCGGCACGGAAAGTTACTGCCTGCTAACGTGGCAGGAACGATGGAAAGCCCGGGGCTGCCAAGCTCTGCAATCCCGCCGCCTTCCTATGCTCACAGGCACGGCTCTTCGCAGAGTCTAGCCTCTACACGTCCCCTGCACATAACTGTATTCTTTCAACAGTTGCTATATTTGGGGGCAAAGGGAGGAGAAGAAACTTGGAGGGAGTGGCAGCGAGGAACAAGCTAAGATCCCATGCACGATTACTTCCTTGCCCTGAAATGTCCCTAGGAAGATGTCATTTCACCCACTGTACTGTGTTATCTCTGAACTTCCAAAACAACCCTTCATCAAGTTTAACACGTCAGAGGCTTCCATTTGTCTATCTGCCCATTCATTTTTATTATTATTATTTTTTTTAACAAACATCTCCCAAGCACCAATTATCGGTCAGCTCCCCAGCTAGGCCCTGGAAACCCAGAAAAGCTCACAGTCCAGCGTGCAGCCCGAGAGTAAATTGCTGCCATGGGACATGAAGGGCTATAACGGGGGCAGGCACAGAGAGCGGCCTGGCAGAGAATGATTTCTGCCAGGTGGGGACAGCTGCCCACAAAGGCTTGCAGGTCCCGCCTTGTTAGAGCCGGGCTTTGAAGAATGACTCCGGTGAGGAGGTCGCCAGGTGAACAAGCGGCCTAATTAGGCTGTGATGTCCATTTATCATGTGTGTCCCACACCTGCTTTTTAAGTGAGGCTTTAAAAATACAAAAACAGATTGTGGGTCAGAGAATAGGATTGTTATCAATGTTACATTCCCTGATTAGGATCATCCTACTGTGTTCATGGGAAATCTATGCTGAAAAAGAGTGAAGGGGGATGTCCCCTCCATATGGCACCCATAGAGTGAGTGAGTACGATCCTCTCTGATAGTATGTGGGGTAGTATTTGTGCATAGGGGGTGAGGCCGATAGAGCAGTAGGACAGAATGTTAATGATTAGGGAGTCTGGGAAAAGGATACATGGGAGTAACGTGTGCTATCCTTGTGATTTTTCTGTAAGTCGGAAATGGTACTAACACAAAAAGCTAACAAAAATTTTTTAAAGCACAAAATAGACTCAATCAGTTTTTAAAGTACCTAGATGCCAATGCCTTTTATTACCAGCATTAGGAAGAGCATCGGCAATAATCAGGACATAATTTGGTTGGTTGGAAAGAAAAAGCTACTCAACTTAGTAGGTCCTGGGAACTCTAAGAAGGAATGCTGTATCTTCTGTGTGTCCTTCCTCACTTCCCCACCCCTTTCTTTTCTTTTCTTTTCTTTTTTTTTTTTTTCTGAAAGTTTGAGGATCAGGACAGCAGTGAGGCCCACAACATGTGTGGTCTGCCAAGGTCCTGAAAGGGGAGGGGCCTCAAGGTACTGCTTGCCTTTCTGCAGTGGAGGGACCCTAGGAATCTGGAGGAAGTGGCTCCCCCCAGAGTGGGCAGTCAGCTGAGGAAGGGTTTGGGATTGATCAGACAATTTATGCTGTACTTGCTTACGATACATTTTAAAAAGCACAAAGCAAAATTTAAAAGTAATAACAGCAGCAGCTAATATCTGCCAAGTGCTTATTATATTCTAGGCACTTAGCTAACTATTTAATCTGGACATCTCACTGATTACCCCATAGCAGCTCCACGAGGTGGGAACTATTAATGTTCCCATTTTACAGATGACAGAACTAAGGCCCAGCTAGTCAATGATGGAATTGGATATAAGCACAGGCGGTCTGGTTCCAGAGCCTGGCTCTTGCCCACAGTATTTTATTGCTCTAGGTTCTGGTTACTACTTTATGTGCATGTGGACAAAGAATTTCAAAGGACATCGAGGGGTGCGTAGGAACAGTACGATTAGCTGGGGTGGCAGGATTATAGCAATGTTTACCTTCATTTTGATGTTCAGTGTTATTTATAACTTTTTTAAAAAAAACAATCCAACCTCTTGGTTGATCATTCTTGACCCAGTAGATGCAATTTGAGATATGTGTGCCTAATGCAGAATCTTTGGCACTAAATACATTGTAGCTTCTTCTGTGCCTTGGTTTCTGTATCTGAAATATGAGATAATATTTGCTAAGATTCTCCCACTGAAATCCTTGCTGTAAGGTTGCAATTCTGTATACAGCACATATAGGATACAGAGGGTGTGGAGGATGGGGGGTGGGAAAGGACAGGGAGAAATAGGGTGAGGTGATGGCAGGAAGATTTTATAAGGACAATTGTTCACTGGTGGAATCAGACATTATGCATGCAGCTGGGCTGGCCTTTCTCTTTATAAGGTATTTGTTCAATATTAGAAGTAAATATCACATCTCAATTAGGTTTTCCCCCTTCTTTCTTTCCTTCTTTTTTTCTTTTGTTTTTTACATCCTTCTTTTCCTCCCTTCCTTCCCTTCTTCCTTCCTTCCTTCTTTCTTTCTTTCTTTTTCTGGACCACCAGAAGTGATGTTTTGTCATATGTATACATTTTATCCCATAGAAGAGACTAGCAGAGACTCAAACCAGAGAGAATCAAGCAGCCCTAAGGCCTGAGCACAACTTCCTGGCATCTGGGGACACAAGCCCCTGATATCATTTAACCACCTCACCACGTGCATGTAGAAGAAATGCTTTTGGGCTTGCAGCTTATATACACATAGACCGTTACTCATTCGAAATGTATCCACAAAAGGCAAAAAATTTGAAGTAACCAAAGCAACATGCTACTATGGCTAGACACTATGTCGCTTAGCTGGCATATTCTTCCTGGTCACCTTCCAGACAATCCGGAGAGCAAGCAGCGCTTTCGTTTCTGTGCAGCATCCGTCTACGTTCAAAGATGCTTTTGAGAGAGCCAAGGGAACGGTGATTTAATGCTGTCAAGTGCTTTGAGATCGCAGACAAAGGAGCTCTGTAAATACTGAGAATTACTGAGCATTAGCAGCCCCAGTGTCAGTCCCCTCGATATTATCAGGGCTTTGGAAAAATTAACCAAGAAATTTGGGCCCTGGAAAACTGAGCAGCTCAATCACTTATGGAAAGATTGAGGGACCGTCTACATTGGGAGCTGTAGGGTTTGGTAAAAACACTTGCCCTAGGACTACTTTTCTTCTTTTGCAAATGAAAAGCACCAGAGACTAAACCATGTTGCAGTATGGAAAAGAAATAATTAAATTAAAGCTTTTGAAATCAAGTTCCAATGGACAGAAGGCAAGGGTTCACGGGTATACACATACCTACGAGAGGAGATACGTACTATAGCATTTGTCTCACAGAGAGAAGAGATGTATGCAGACATACAGAGAGACACAGACTGGGCTTCAGAAAAAGGATAGAAAACTCTTTTGTCCAGATGCTTGTATTTGGTACAAAACCAAATCCCTTCCTTGTTTAGCTAAGGTAAACAAACGTACTCATTCTGTTTGGTGAGATTGTAGGGCGACAGGCAGGCACATAAGTTATTGCTGGGCATATGAACCTGTAGAGTCCGTGGACGACAACTTTGCAGTATCCAATGATATTACAAATGTGTTTACCCATTGGCCTAAACATCCCACATCTAGGAACTTATTTATGTATGTAGAAAATGGTATCTGCTTGAGGATATTCATTGTAGCTCTGATGTATTAGGAAAGCCTGAAAACAAATTAAAAGTTGTTTAGTAGGGGGCTAAATAACCTCTGTTGTATCCATAAAATGTAATATCACACAGTTGTTAAGAAGAACAAGGCAGTTCTGCACAAGGTGCTATGGAATTATCTCTAAAGACGTAGTGTTAACTGAAAAAAAAATCCAGATGCAGAACACTGTGTACACACAGTTTTGAATATGTATGTTTTGAATTTGTCATGCATAGAATGGGCTTCTGGAAGGCTTCATGAGAAACTGGTCACTGTAGCTTAGGGTTAGGGCTTACCTCTAACTTTATACCCTTTTGTAGCTTTTGAATATTGTATCACATACCTATGTGTCCTATTCAAAACAATTAAATTGAATTATACTAATGTGCGAGAAACCCTTGATTAAACAACAAAGTAACAATATGAACTTTGCACCATTTTGTGGGGATAAGGAGGGATAGGCATGTCTTCAGAGTTCTGCCACGTGCTTCCTTCCTCCCCAGGCTTCCAAGCACCCTGCTGCCTCAGGGAACCCAGGGTGACGTTTGGGTTTGGTTCAGGAGTGCCTGACTGTGTCAGCCGGTGACTATTTCCCTCCCTCTGACTTCCTCAGTCCCCCACAGCTCAATTCAGGCCGAGTAGCCTGGTGTCCATTTGAACTAACCCTCCCCACACCAGTAACCCCCCTGAGCTGTACCAGATACCGTCACACACATATCTGAGTGTGCAGGGACCTTCCACGTGGGGCTGATAGAAGAAATGCTTCCTAGGCATTATGGCCCCTGCTGGGCTATGCTAAACACCTCTGTTGCACCACTAACCAGGAATCATTTTTAATTTTTTTTTTAATTTTATTTTTTGTTTGCAAAGAACAAAGCTCACCAATAGGCGATGATAACTGCAAGGATACACGTGGAGCGATGTGAGTAGCAGAGTTCTCATGGGAATTTAGTAAGAGTAATGAAACAACCACCTCAAAAATAACGCCAATGAAGCACTTAGGTGCCCGGGATGGTGCCAGGTGCTTTGTGTGGGTTGTCTCATTTCAACCCCACCACGAACCCACGAGGCTGTCACTGCGGTTACCCCCATTTTATAGAACATTGAGCCTTGTAGTTAGAGGTCACCGTCCCCATGGAGAGGGTGGGCCTCCTAGAGACGGGATCTGGAAAATTCGCTGCTGTCTTGGTCTCTCTTGGTCGTGGGCAGAACAGGATCTTTCTCAGAGTTACCGCTTCTCTCTGCCCATTTGCTTCTCTGTTCTGATACCAGTGGACTTATTCACTCATAGAGTTTGCTTCCTTACCACACCGGCTTCTACAGAGAGCTCCATGGCCCCCCTCCACCTCAAGGCCTCCTCTGCGGCCCCCCTCCACCTCAAGGCCTCCTCTGCGGCGCTGATGCAGCTGCCTCTGAACTGCCTGCTCTCAAATATTCTTTGAGAACTGCCTTTAAGCCAGGCATTGGGTTATGGGGGCCATGGCAATTGACAGAACAAAACAGCTTGCTCTCAATGGCACTTGCCTTCTGGCTCTTTCACTTGTAGGTACGGGTAGGGCAGACATGCTGGCCTGTCCAGTTCAGAGACAGTGACCCATGACTGACCACTGGGCTCTTGCCTCACTCTCTAAGTCACTGCTTTCTACGGTCTCTGCATTCGTGCCTTTTCCTGGTTATCCACCCGCCTCCAGGAGCTGGGGCTGGGTCATGGCCCAGTGTGCTGTGGAGCCCAAGGTGGTCAAACGGATGACCCCAAGAGTCGAGAAGAGAATGAGGGGAGGGAATCCTGGTAGGTGACACTCAGAGGCCCTGTGGGTCAGCTACTGAGGGCAGTGGAATCCCAGCCACAAATGATGGTGTTACTATTTTACCATAATTAGTTATCGAATACCCAAATTGGGCTCCTCTCTTTTCTTTTCTTTCCTCCCTTCTTTTGATAACAGAAGGCATGAAAAAATTCCATATCTTGTTAAACGCCCTTACCTAGGCTGGAATTAACCTTTCCCAGGCTTCTCTTCCACATTCTTCAAACTCCTATTAATCCTTTAAAGCCCAGCTCCAGGCATGGCACTCCTCAGTGACCCCTTCCCTACATCAGAGGCAATTGTGCCCTTATTTTGGCTACTTCGTACGTGGTATACATTTCTATTATTGCCCTCATCATACTGCATTGCAAATATTTATTTAGATGTGTGTTTCTTCTACTGCGGTGTGAGTTATAGAGGCTAGGAACTGAGTCTTAATGATTTATTTATTCTTAATTTAAATAAACTATTTTAGGATAGTTTTAGATTTACAGAAAAGTTGCAAAAATAGTATGGAGAGTTTCCATACACGTTATTGTGCCGTTAACATCTTGCTTTACTGCATTATGGGTGTTACCAGTAAGGAATCAAGGTTGGTATGTTACTATTAACTGAATTTCACAGTTGATCTGGATTTCACCTATTTTTACTTAAATGCCCTGTTCCTGTTGCAGGATGCCATCCAGGTCTCACATTACGTTTATGCTGTCATGTCTCTGCTGCCTCCTCTAGTCTGTGACAATTTCTTAAACTTTCCTTGTTTTTGATGACCTTGATGGGTTTGTGGCGTAGTGTTGTAGAATGTCCCTCAATGGGTTCTCTGATGTTTTTCTCATGGTTAGACTGGGGTTTGCTTACTTTTAGCCATCAGCACTGAACTTAATACCCAGCACATACCACCTAGCATACACTAGGCATTTGATTAATGTTTATTGTACTGAATAGAATTCAGTACCTTCCCTATAAATAGAAACTTGACCGATGCCCTTGGAGGGGTGAAGTATAGAGCTCAAGTCTTGTGAAGATGTGCACACAGCTGAATGATAAAAAGACAGTCTGCAACCAAATGTCAAATAAGGGGAACCGAGAGAATGACCTCTGGCAGCTCGGGAGATGGATTAATCAGTACGAGTGGGTGAAGTCAGCATCTCTGTGAAAGAAGGATCCAGAAAGTGGGGAGGATTTGGAGAAGCCTTTTTCAGGGCTCAAGCATGCCAACCTTTTCCCCGTCTTAGAGTCTGCTCACACGCTGAGCCTGAAGTCTGAAGACATTGTTACCCCTCTGTTCTCTCCGCTGCCTTCTTCTGGTTCTTGAGGTCTTGGCTTAAATGTGTCCTCTCCAGACCCGCATTATCTAAAATAGGTGCCACCTGCCACTCTCTCTCACAACACCCCGTTTTCTTCATAGCTTTTATCAGCACTTATAATGACTGATTGTTTATTTCTTGATTGTCTGCCTCCCTCATTAAGTCTAAGCTCCTTGAGGGCAAGTACTGTAATTTTTATTCGCCCTGGCAGAGCACGTAGTGGTTCTCAAATCATCTTGTTGGATCAATGAATGGGCTGATGTTGGCTGAGACTGACAGGCCATGAGACAGTGCCAAGTAGACACATGAGCGGTTGCTGTAAGAGGCCCTGAAATGGAGCAAGAGTGAACTGGGTAGGCAGATGGGATGCTACCATGTCATCAGGTGGATCACAATGGTGTCGGCTCATCCCAAACAGGGTGGCATAATTTGGGCAAAGGCCAGCAATGTACTAGGTGTGGGCCGCGCAGAGGCGTGGGTCATCCAGTAATTTTCCATCTTGGGAAGGCCAAGGAAAGTTCATAGGACAAAGAATGGGGGACTAGGAATGACAGGGGTCAGGGGAAGGACAAGGATGGAGGGGTGCCTGCTGCATATATTAACATGGGGAACACATCCCATGAATGACAATAACACAAAAGCCCCTGGAAGGCAAGGCGGGTACCCAGTTTAACTTCCATGGTATTGCCACAACCCCGACAAGAAAAGGGGCACGTCAGTGAATACTTCTGAATAAGAAAGATAAAATGCAAGGCCTGTAATTTGCTATAGGATTTAGTTCTAGAAAAGAATAGTCATCACATGAGGAAGCCTAGAAGAAGGAACTCATTGAGCTCCAGGGCTCACAATGGAAAGAACCCCTGCAGAAATCTTTGATCTTTCCCACCACTGTGCGTTCTACACAGTTACGAAGGACAGAATCGGGGTACACATTGCCTACTATAGGAAGTGTATATTTAATATTTTGCCATCCAAGTTCAATTTTAAACTGCTGACCCAAAGGGAGTATTTTATACAGATTCCGACTAGAACCACCCAGTGGGAAAAGGCTTGGAAAGCACGTGGCAAAGAAAGTCTGAGAATCCAGAGGGTGATTTAGTAACCAAGGAAAAGCGGCACGTCTCATCTTTGTATGCCCATATAAATAATTACAATGGTTGGACTCCCCTTATTTTTCATCTAACCTAAGGAACAGCTTTGCAAAGGAAAGATAACAATGACCTGTGTGTGTAGGAGTCCCGAGAGACCGTGAGGCATAGGAGTCACCAGGCTCCTGGGAGGCCCAGGAACATGGTCCAACCAACCTTCTTCTGGCATGGCAGGAAGCAGGTGGAAGAAGGCAAAAAAAAAAAAAAAAAAAAAAACCCAAAAAAACCAAAAACACAAAAAACAAAAAAAACAAAGAACGACTGCTGTCTCTGAAGGTCAGAACAAGAGATCAAGGAGTATGTCTCTGTTACCTCAAATCTATAGCCTTTGAACACCCAGCAGGTAGGTGAGCAAGTCTTGCATGCAACTCAGGAATTCCTTTTCTCTCTGCTATGCCTACTTAGAGATTCAGGGCTAAAGGAACCCCAGGTAGCAGCCTGTCCAACCCTTTCATCTGTGAAGGCGGGAAACTGATGTGAAAAGGACAACACAAAGTCACCCTGGTAGATGGCGTTGGAGCCAGGATGAGACTTTGCTAACCCAGCTTTCTTTTCCCGATCCTAAGCAGCCCATTTGGGGATTTGTGAGTCACTGACCACCAAAATTGGCTCTGATTCCACATTTTGATTTCCACTCCCATGTATCTGAATTTATCAGCACCGTTCACATTTTCGCCCCTCATAGTACTTCTGTAACAACCTTGAGGTGGTCAGGGAAAACGAAAACAAAACCAACCACCCACATTCCTACGCATTTTGATGAAATGCACACCAGGTACCTGACCCAGACTCCTACTTGCCTGCCAATCTCCAGCTCATATCAATTCATTTCCCTAACAGAAAACAGGTGTCAGTTGTGTAGATGGAAAGTCATTTGCCTGCAAATATCACCGGGGAGGTTATTAGCACTACTTGACAGTTTTATTATTACTTTTGTTTCAAGCTAAGGTGAGGAACCCTACATTTGCCAGGGAGAATAGTGAACAGATGCAGAGCTTTTAACTTTGTATTAGTAGTAAGATCAGAGAGGTAAACAAGGAACAAAGAACAAGTGTGTTGGCCGAGTGCTAAGTCTGGCTAAGGGCACCTCTTGGAATCTTGGCTTTCTTCCCCACTTCCTACCCACAAACTCTCAGATCCTAAAACTTCAGTGTGGGTTGAAGAGGATGACTCTGCAGTCATCCTGAACAGACGGCTCAGAGGTGACCCGGCAGGATCTGCTTATAAATACTGGCTATCAGGTAAGACCACTGGGGACCAGGTACCTTGTTTTACTCTTCTCTTGATTTAACTGAAGGTGGTTATGCATTTATAAGAACCCAACAATCTATATATCTTACATTTAGACAAGAAAACTAGACAACATAAAGACAACCAAAAGAGTATATTAATAGCCATTTATGTGTAGGGACTACTTGAATTTACATTTTACTACCTATGTATATTCTAAAGGGTCAGTCTTGGGTGTAAGGTTGTCAGACAAAATATAGAATTCCCAGGTAAATTTGAATTTCAAATAAACAATGAATAATTTTTTAACATACATATACTCCAAATATTTCATAGGACATACTTTTATTCATTGTTAATCGACACTGAGTCCATTAACCAGCTGGTTCATTTATTATTCAGATTATTTTTTTCCCCTGCTTCCTTCTTTTCTGATCTTTCAGTGGCTTAATTTTAGGAATCCTATTAGAGGGTGCAGGGAGAAATACAACTCAAGTGCACTGAGTGTCCTACTTATCATTAGCTGAGGCACAAGTTTTGGTAGGGGAGGAATTTAATACTTTGAGCTAAAAATGGTGATTATCTGCATTCTCCCTATACCATATAGACAGAATTAGCTGTAGACTGATGTTTTCCAGAGATTGGATTTTGCAGACCAGTAAAATGTAAAAAGAAAGGGAAAGGAAATTGTGAAATTGTGGGAAGATCAATAAACTGCTGCCAAGTTTAAATTTGATCAAATCAGAGTGTTTAAAAAAAACTCCACAGCTACCATCTCCAATTACCATTAATTCATAAAAGAAAGTAACATTTCAATACCCCCAAAGTAGAAAGGATGCACTCTTAGAATAAAAAACAATACTTCTTAAATAAAGTTGGCAGCCTGACAATGTGTTGCCCTCATTTTTTTGTGAAAACTTCATCACAAGTTTGATGCTGGCCCTGGAGTTTGAGACTGTCCAGACCAGGTTGTACCATAGCAGTACCTGCCAAATGGCAGTAGCAACGGTGCACATCATACAGGTTTGTGTTGGTGGGAGATAATCACAGAGAACCTTCTAGTAAAGGAAAGAGAAGGTGAACACACACCAGTGTGAATTTGGATGACCTGAAACTAATATCTAATGTAGTATTTTCTTTCTGAGATGCGTATTATTTGTGTGGAAGTCTAATGTGACTTTTCTCAAACCATGAAGCATTTCCTCAACTTACACTACAGACAAAAGCTTTTTCGAAACTTTCTTTGGAGCACAGCCCGATCTCTGAACCCTCCCTCCCTGTCTCTATAAAATGAATGCTTCAGGAACTGGATAATATGACACTGAACTTAAATAGCCCCCTTCCTAAGAGAGTTCAGAGGTCTTTGAAAATACAGGTAATTAAGCCTCCTGGCTCCTGTGAGCTGGCAGAATGCATGACCCCAGCTGAGAGGAGTTGGGTATTTGCCAAAAGGCAGGAGTAGTTGGTAGCAGTGCTTAGGGACCAAGTCCCCAAGTTCAGATTTTCTACCGCCCTTTCCTATTTTACACAGGGGAAAACTACAGTGTTAAGAGTGGAGGACTGCCTGAAATTGCTGAGTAATTAATAGGAACCACGATTAAAATCTATTGCCCAGCCCACATCTTATAGGTAGTTTCTTCTGTCCTCCTCCAACCTGAGATCCATATACAAAAACGTTTTTTTTACCAGGGAAGCTCTTCTTTAAATAGGACTGAAATTCAATGTCATGTGTTACAGAGAGATTCAAAATATGACTGACTTATCCCCAAATATTCTTCCCTTTGCCACACGCCATGAAGTTGCAAACTTAGTATCCCTTTCAAGAGCTCTTTGAAGTAAAGAATTAGTCATTAAAAATATGCATACATACTATCAATAAGATATATGTTAGTATATACTGGAAAAATATCAACCTTATACAGTGATAATCTCTGGGTCAGGGAAAATGAGTGGGGGGCCTTTCTTATATTATGTTTTTCTGTGATGATGGAGTTTTTAAAAATAATTGTAATCATTTATTACTTGTAGAATAAGTTAAAAACAAAGATACAAAACACACACACTCCTGTTTTAGCAGAAAACTTGGTTCCTTAGAATTAAAAAAAAATAAAAAAAATAAAAAAAAAAATCATTTCAACCTGGCTTTTGGGAAGTCCCCTTACTGTCACCTAGTACTTGTACCTTCCCATAGTCCTCTCCCCAACCTACCTTCAATGACTTGAGATATTTGGTGCCCCTTGGGTATTCCAGACATTTGTCTTTCTGAGAGAAGCAGTGCTACCATTTTCCTAACCTCACAAAATCCCAGCTCTTCTATAATTACTAAAGCTCAGGTCTCCCTCGGCCCAGCCCTGTTTAATACCTGCTTATTTTCATTTCTCTCTCTTTCTTTGTTGTTTGCCTTACTAATTCTGACATGATGATGATGATTATTTTTTTTTTTTCAGGCTCAACCGAATAGCAGAGAGATTTTGGCTTTGATTCCAGAATGATGTTTCACAGAAAGTCAACTCTTGTTCCAGGTACTTGATAAACATCTCACTAATTTCTCACTGTTTCTCAGCGATTAACAGTTTGGTTAGCAAGTCCAGAGCCTTTCAGATAGCATTTGCTTCCTACACCAGTAAGCTAATGAAACCCAGGGAGCACAGCCTGGCCCTTTAATGGTTTCTGTCACCTGGGCCAAGCTGCCTACACCATGACCCTGCACAGGGAGGTGTGCCTCAGGGCAAGCAGAATGCAAATGACTGTGGCCCTCAAATTGCAATTTAAGGATAGCTGTTACCTTCTGCTCTTCCCAGATAGTTCTCTTCCTAACCACCAAATTTGAGGATAATGTGCTATTTTCACTTATTTTTAGTGGAAAGAATATTGAACCTTAGGGTGATGGTAGCATATTTGCTGAATTAGGTGTTTTAGAATAAATTAGATTTTTTTTTTCTTTTTGGTGTGGAGAAAGGAGAAGGGGGGAGCATTGAATTCAAAGAAAACTGGAATTTAAAAAGCTAGATTTTCTAGTTAATGGGTTCTAGATATTTAAAAAAAAAATAGCCACAATTAATTACATCATAATTTAACTATGGGAAGTTGTAATCTTTATCAAAGTGTTTCCTGCCAGACATATTCAAAATCTGTGTGCTTGGATTTTAAATGCATTTGCCTCTATTGAGTTAAAATATGCTTTCGGCAACAAGAATGGAACTATGAGATTTAAAGGGAAAGAATGGCTTTTCCAAAAGCATTTAAGTCTTCTTGGGTAGAAGAGATTTCATCCAAGGATGCTATGTGGTATTACAGAAATGAATCAGAGACATCAACCCTCCATTTCCTTAGAAACAGAAACATGCTTAAAGTTGTTAGGGTAAACGAGTTGGACAAAGTACACTCTGCATTTTGTTTTTAATTTCGGCTCAAAAAATACGCACTTGGTCTTGGCAGGGTGAGAGATATTCTCAGCCTTCTATCCTCTGCCCAAACCAACTCCAAGTATGATTGATTGAATTTTCAGTTCCTTTATTCTCAGATCTGGTTCTGTCTGTGGTTGTGGCAGTGGTTTCCGAGTCTGTCACTGTTAAGAGTCACCATGTTAAAACACCAAAGCCTTTCCTTAGGCTAAATATTCCCTCTCACTCCCAAATGAACTCCTTGAGGAAGTATGTTCTGTGCATATCTGGAAACGTTGGTTCTACAAGAATGAGAGCTGGAGAAGCTCACCCAGGTCCTTATAGAGAAATCCATGTTCTTGGACAGGGAAATCCATGTTCTTCTCCTTCTGCCTGTCTATCTTTGCAGGCTTGGAATCACAGGTGAAAACAATCCCAGCTCATCAGCCTTGGAAAGGGGTAGGGATGTGATGCTTCTATTGCCCTGGCTTTTACTAGGATCAAATGTGGGAAAAGGGAAGGGGAAAAAAAAGGGAAACTAAACCTTGAGGAAGGGGGAAATCGCCTTTGTAGTAAACTGACTGAAAGCAGGTAGCAGCACCTGCCTGGGCTTAGAAGTGTCTGAGAGTCCCTACTATTAAGTAGAACACAATCAAAGGTTACTGAAGGAAAAGGGTGCCTACCATTGGCTCTTTTTTTAATTATCGTAGCAGTTTTTCTTTCTTTATAAATGGTTCTAAAAATAATACATGCATACACGGTAGAAAATTTGGAATTTAGAAAGAAGTTAAAAGAAGCATGCAAAATATCACCAAATTGTAGTATCTTATTAGCCAAATGTGACCATCATTAACATCTAAGAAGGGTTCCTTCTAGTATTTTTTTCTGTTTTTTCATATTTTTTTTAACCTTCACTTGACTGAGATAATTCTGTACATAGAATTTCACATATTATTTTTTGTCGAATCAAAAATATTTTTTCATGTTTTTATTAGTTCTTTGAATATTTTGATGGCTGTATAATTTTCTATCATATGACTAAAATTTATTAATAATTTTCCTAATTTGGACATTTAGAGTGTTTACAATTTAACCATTATAAATAGTACTTAAATTAACATGTTATTGGTGTGTATAAATCTTCGCATTCCTAATTATTTCTTTAGAACAATCTATTGGAAATAGAATTATTGGATCAAAGAGTATGAGCATTTTTCAGGACTTTAGTACATATCACCAGGAAAGCTGTATCAATTTATATTAACACAGTATATTAATGTCTTCCTGAAGCTCTGATGATATTAATTAATGTCATTTAAACAGTATGCTATTTTGATAGGCCCCTGATATTTAACTTTGTATTTACTGGTAAGGCTGAAAATTCTTTATAGACTAATTAGCTATTTTTATTTTCTCTTCCATCAATTGTTAGTTCATGACCTTTGTCTATTTTTTTATTGACTTATGGTAACACTTTATGTATTAAGGTTGTTAACTTTGTACCTAATTTTTTTTTTTTTTTTTGAGACAGAGTCTCACTCTGTTGCCCGGGCTAGAGTGCCATGGCGTCAGCCTCGCTCACAGCAACCTCAAACTCCTGGGCTTAAGCGATCCTCCTGCCTCAGCCTCCCAAGTAGCTGGGACCACAGGCACGTGGCACCATACCTGGCTAATTGTTTCTATATATTTTTAGTTGGCCAATTAATTTCTTTCTATTTTTTAGTAGAGACGGGGTCTGGCTCTTGCTCAGGCTGATTTTGAACTCCTGACCTTGAGCGATCCACCTGCCTCGGCCTCCCAGAGTGCTAGGATTATAGGTGTGAGCCACCGCGCCTGGCCTGTACCTTAATTTTTGAAAAAGTACATCTTCTTTCCAGTTTTCTTTTTGTCCTCTCATTTTATTTATGATAATTTTTGAAGTATAGAAAATTTATATTTCTCTATATTCCAATTTATTGACCTTTTACTCTATGAGTTCTACCATTGCTTTAAAGTATAGAAAATCTGCACCTATCTGGATAAATATGTAGAAATTTATTCTTTTAGTTATTTTTAAAAAATATCATATCCGTAACTTTTCTGGAACTTAATTTGTTATATAGTATGAGAAAAATGTATTTTTCCCTCATAAGCTAAAAATGATCACACGACCATGTGTTGACCCTTTTCCCCCACAGCTTCTATATGTATTCTATTTATACATACGAAAGACTCTTTTTACATATGTGAGATTATGTGTTGGGGTTTTCTTTCAGTGGTTTACTGATCTCTTTTCCTATTGGCCTGCCAGTAGTTTCTCCTCCTCGGTCCTTTTCTTTCATTTCTTTTTTATTTTTTAAAAGAAGTTCTTTTAGCTATTCTTATACTGGTTTCTTTCGACTTAAAAGGGTGCCAAGATGACATACCAGAGGGCTGTCTAAAATTATTAGAGAAAAAGACGCTTTGCCTTTAAAGTTTTAGGTCTTAGGTGAAAACGATGCAGTGTTAGCTCTCGTGTCTATGAAGGATGGGCTTCATGCTATGGCAGAAAATTAGAAAGGACTTGCTTGGTTTCTTGATATTTGTAGAAACAGTAATATAAAGAAGAAGAATTAAGTATCTTTTGGTTCATCTTAGGAAAAGAAAATTTCCAGTGGGGAGATTGAGACATTTAATGTTAAAAGATCATCCCTACTCGGGCTTCTAGGCTACTAGTAAAGATATCAACCCATCTGTCTGTAGACAATTGCCAGAAACTGTCAAAAAATAAAAAAAAAAAAATGAGAGAAAGCCTGAATTACGATAGTCTTGTTCTACAAGGTGTGTGCCAAGTAATTGTGTTTTGTTCTTAAGGTTTCTTAGGGTGAAGGGGTGAGAGATGAATTTTTTCTTATTTTTATTTAACTGTATTTCTATTTTTTTCCAAATTGCATAAAAGGTTTTATTTTTTTTCTTTCCTAATAATCATCTGTTAATTAGCCTCTGGAATATATTAAATAATTATTGGAAGCTTCAGTTCCAAAAAGTACAATGTTACAAAAAGTGGATTTTCTATTCCTTCGCTTCTTACCTTCATGGACATGGCAACACTAAAACTCATCTCATTAGAAAAGATTCTGTGAAAATGAGTCAGGACGTTTCTAAACCAAGTGCTTTTCCTCTGGATAGCATTTAACTCAGAATGAGATCGGGGACTGGAAGAAGGTATGAAAAAAACTATCTCTTAAAATTGCTGTTTCTAAAGCTAATAAAAATTATTTTGCAATGGCTTTTTTTTTTCCCGCTTGACAAACAAGGATGGATACATCTTTGCATGTTAAAAAGTAGAGGGCTATAAGTAAGTATTCAATGAAAATTGATTTTTTTTTTCCCTGTAAATTCCCTTTTTGTGATACGATTGGCACTATTTTACTGTCTTAAAGATTTCCATTTTTCTTTAATGGTCTCTACCTTCCTCTTTTTTTTTTTCTTAGCTCTTCTTAATTGTTATGCTTTTCGTTAGTAGATAATTTTCTCTGGCTGGCCAACAGTGATGAGGGTCAAAGTCACGGACAATATACTATATCTGGTTTAGTCCGACTGGAGAAAAGCTAAATTGTGCCTCATTCTCGAATTAGTCGCTTTAAGTATAGGTGATGGGCAGCCTCCGTGGCAATGATTTTGTCATAGTAA